TGGCTTGTTTTACAACGTCGTTGCCAAGCGACGAAAACCCAATCCCGATGGCAAACACCGGGAGGGACATTTTCTATGGGCAGTCGAATGGTGGAAAACCCTACCCCCCCTACTTTTTCACATCTGCGGGGCACCATGTTTCTGAGATTTTTTGTGTCCTTAAAGCGGGGAGTGTCTTTAAATATGGTGTCTTCAAAGCGCGGACGACTGTACTGCTACGCAAACTAGTTGCTGCAATCGTATTCAAAGGTCAAACCGTGTCCGACTACTGGTGGTTTCGATGCACGATTTTTCCTGACACGACCCCTCGATCAAGCAACTAATTCACAGTGGTCAACCGCATCACCATATATATTCATTTCTACCTCGACCCCTCCGTTGGCATCATATCGAAAATGATTTCCTTCTTGTATCACGCGTATGGTAGGAAGCTTAACAGATATTCGATCAACACGAGAAGTCCTTGACCTGCTGAATGATGGAGGCGAATCGGTGCTTTGGTAGGTGCTTGGTCGCGATATCAGCCAACTGGTGCTCGCTGGGCCGGTGGTGAAGAGTGATTTGTCCCCGCAGTACTAGCTCCCGGATGAAAAAGTACCTCAGGGCCACGTGCTTCGTGCGTTGAGAGTGCATGGCATTCCCGGCCACTGTCAGCGCTCCAGTGCTGTCATGTTCACTTGCGCTGGGTTGCTGCAGGCCTTGGACAGTTGTAGGGCCGCGTAAGAGAGGTCGAATCGCGTGCACTGAGCCAGGTAGAGGATCCTTCCCGTCAGTAGATTTTCTTGTCCGTGGGTCCTAGGATTTGGTCCTGAGGTTGATTCGTGGAGATTTCCGCTCCGTATCCAGGAGTGCTCACTGGGTTGGCCTCTTGCATTCCGAACCGCTCCAGAAGTGTGTTCACGTAGTGCTCCTGTGAAATGGCCAGGGTTCCTTGCTCGTAGTCCCGCTCTACGTCGATCCCGAGGATCCGCTTTCCCTCTCCCATGTCGGCCATCTCGAATCGATCCGTGAGCTCCTTCTTCTTCTGGTCCACGAGCTGCTGGTCTCCTCCTGTGATGAGAATGTCGTCTACGTAGACCGTGAGAATCACGATGATGTTGCCGCTGGTGTACACGTACACGCTCAATCCTTTTCCAGCCGAATACCGTGGAAAACCCGTCCAGGGTGTCCTTCCAGAGCGCCGGCGACTGCGATAGACCGTAGAGGCTCCGTTCTAGTTTGTACACCATGGGTTCTCCCGTCGCGGAGTTCTTGGCGGATGTACCGGGGGCGGGTCTGACGTACACATCTCTGTCGCAGAGGGCGTTCAGGAAGGCACCGACAACGTCCAGTTGGTAGATGGGCCAGTTGTTGTGGCAGCCAATGGCGCACGTCATGCGAATGCTCCCGATACGGCATACTGGGGCGTAGCTTCATCCGTAATCCTGTCCTGGCTCTTGACGATGTCCTCCGACTACCTGGCGAGCTTTGAAGCGTCCGTCCAGCTTCTTCTTGAAGGCGAATTTCGTTGCGAGAATATTCTCTCCCTTGGGAACGCTACCGAGGGGCACTACTTTGTAGACGTTGTGTTTCCGCAGATTGCCCATTTCCTTGCTGCACGCTCCTTTCCATTCTTCGCGCTGGGGAGAGTTCATGGCTTCGTCGTAGGTGTTGGGGATTTCGATCGCTTGATTCGTCTCCTCCAAGATCCCGTGGTGGTAGTGAGTGGCCGTGACGTAGGCGTGACACGCGGCACCGTGAAGGGGTCTTCCGCCACGTGGGCGAAATCCTCAGTATCGCCAGGGCATGGGAGCTAGGCTTGATCGGTTATCTCAGCCAGCTGAGTGAAGGAAAGACCAGATGACTTCACGCGGCCCGTTGCAGCATGGGCTCGACCGCGGTCGTTCATTGTGACTTGCAGATCGGCAGGAACCAAGTTAACGTCGAAGTGATCGTCGCTGGTGGGCTTCCTGCGCGTGCTAGCTCTGGTGACTTGCAGCCGCCGCATGCCGAAGGATCCAGTTGATGCAGAAGTGTCCGGTTCAGACGGGTTCGACGATGATGGGCTGGGGCTAGATGCGTGGGTTCCGGATGACGGCCCAGCTGGCGTCGATGAGAGATGCGGTGATGGGGCGTCCCCGTCGCTGAGATCTTGCCCGTTTCCATGTTCGTCCTCGTTCCCATCCAGTTCTAGGCGAAGCTCCTCCCGAGCGAGATTGTCTTCCGGCATCTTCCGAACTTCTTGCCGAAGGATTTCGTTCTGCGCCGTGAAGTCCAGGTCGCTCGTCGAGTGGGGGCTGTTCAGCAGGGAGATGAAGCTCAGCACGTCGCTCTCGTACCCGTTTGCTTCAGTGGAATGCTGGAATGGCACAAATCGGGGTGGAGACCGGCTCTCGACCACGGCCCCGTTGGATGCATTGAATACGCGGTAGGTCTGGCTGTGGAGGCCGAAACCACATTGCTTGCCTTCGAAAGCTCTGTCGTCCAGCTTCTTTCGGTATCGCTCGTGGCGTACGAAGGCGTGCGCTCCAATGACCTGAGGTCCCGAGAGATCAGATGACTTATTGCGCAACTTCGAGTATGGCGTAGCTCCCCCCAGTGCTGAGTGTGGGGACCTGTTCAACAGGTATGCTGCAGTCAGCATTAACTCCCCACACGTGGACGGCGAAAAATCTCCATCCTTCAGAAGCCACCGGGTGACTCCGGCCAGGGTTTGTCCGTCCCGTTCCGATACACCAAGTTGTTGAGGGGTGTTGATGGCGGCGTATTCGAGCTTGATAGCTGAATTCTTGCAGTAGTCTCGAAATTCGGATCCGGTGTTCTCGCCTCCCTTGTCGCAGCGGATGGTCTCGATCCGGTAGCCTCCTGCCGCTGCGACGCACATGTTGTACGTGTGCACCGCCTCGGTCGTGTCAGACTTCTTGCGAAGCAGGTACACTTCTTTCATTTTCGTGTGGTCGTCGGTGGTCTTGCACGCGTACGGGAAGCACCCTCCATTACATTTTGCAGGTGGATTGACAGGCCCCATGTTGTCGATGACCACAAGTCGTCCAGGCCGTGATAGTTCGCGAGTCGAATGCTTCGGGTGGGGGGGGCTGCTTGTGTTTCGTGATCTGGCAGACCCCGCAAGGGGAGAGACTGTCGCGATAGTCCACCCCGGTACCCGTGTCCTTCCGAAGGATGTCCAGGATCCGAGCATTGAGATGTCCAAGCCTCCTGTGCCAGGTGTCCGCGTTCACAAGCGTAAAGCAGACGGCGTTCGCCGTGTGGGTCTGTGACTGCTTCTGGTGGGGCACGAGAGATCTTGTGCCAGATGGCTGGACGTTCTGCTCGAACGTGATGTCGAGTGNGTCGCGATAGTCCACCCCGGTACCCGTGTCCTTCCGAAGGATGTCCAGGATCCGAGCATTGAGATGTCCAAGCCTCCTGTGCCAGGTGTCCGCGTTCACAAGCGTAAAGCAGACGGCGTTCGCCGTGTGGGTCTGTGACTGCTTCTGGTGGGGCACGAGAGATCTTGTGCCAGATGGCTGGACGTTCTGCTCGAACGTGATGTCGAGTGTGCACATGCCTTGGTCTCGCGGATCTTGTGTGAGTGGAATTACCTTGCCTTGAATAGTGAGGTGCGGAGTACTCTCTTCGACGACGCAGCGCAATCCCTCATTCAGGAGGGAGGTGGGCGAAAAAATGTTGCGACCAAGCCATGGAACGACGAGTCTCTGAATCCGCACGCGCAATTGCTGTCCTCGATTGTACTTGACGGTGCAGTGTAGGATGCCCGTGGCCGTGCCTATGAGTTGGCTTTCTCCGGCCACGTCGACGATCTTTGGAGAGTTTCACTGGGTGTAATTGTGAAGGTTTCCGTCGGGGATGAGGTGTTCCTGTGTGTGCATATGTAGGAAGGATCTGAGGAACGGTTCTGTGTTCCGTACATGAAGGGATCCGCTGTGTTACCTGTTGTAGTAGACTTGGATGAGTCTGCGGTGCCCCCATGCTGCGTCAGCCTGTGTGGGGCATTCTCTTTCTCCTCTGTCTGTCGTGCGTTTGTCCTGTGGATCTAATACAAGCAATCAACGAGACTTTCTAGTCACTGGACACAAATACGGGCATACGCGGCAATCACTCCGGCTCTAGGAGTGGTCAACACTCTAGAGTTTCTTTCTATCTCCATCGTCCTTGCAAGGAAATGAAAGAGCGCGTGCCAGCAACATATTGGGAGGAGGCTCGCAGGAGGAGCTCGCTGCTAAACTTGGAGAAGTGGAGAGCACGCTGACGGCGCGCTTTGAAGAAGAGCAGGCCAAGGCAGAGGGGAGGATGGAGCA